TTGATAACTTTAATAATATGTATATATATATATATAAATTTAATAACTTGATAACTTTAATAAAATGATTCTTCACAGGTGTAATGCTCCTCCGATAAAAGCATTCGCAGAAGACGCTGGAAAAAAATCAAATCTGACGACTGTCAACCCATCTATCTTAAGGAGAACGTACGTTTGTTCTTGAAATACCGTAAACCCTCGAACAGAAGCCCAGTAGGTTAGGTTACACAATAGATGTTACAGTGGACCTATCTATTTGATATATAGGATTCCCAAAATTTAGACCATTCATTTTGAAAGAAGCCTCCCTCTGTACTTTGCAAAAGCAGCCTCGAAAAGAAGCCCATCTCCCATCTCGAATTGAAGCCCAGGTTCGAGGTTTTACGGTATATACTTTGCTTTCACATTCATTTTATTTCAGTATTGAAGCATAAATTACTTCCTTCAGTGCATGTCACTAGATTCAATGCTTGGGAATTTGGTGCAAAGCAATGTACATTTTTCACTCCTTTTTTGTGTTTTGTTTTTGTTTTTGTTTTTTTGTTTGTTTGTTTATTGCAATGCTGATTGAATTGTGGAAATATGTCCAAACCAATCCAATCCATTCCTATAATTCACATACTGATAATACTTACTCATCGAAGAACTCTGTCTTACATTGAGATTTTATATTTTGATTTTTGTGTGTGGGTGTGTGTGTGTGTGGTGGGGTGGGGGTGTATGTGTGTGTGATCAAATGTTTAGATATCTCGAAGGCATGATCAATTTATAAGTGTCTGTTCTAGCTGTAATTTCTCCATGGTCCGATAAACTTTTTTTTTTTTTATTAGTTACAATAAACTACAAACAAGAAAAGATCATGGAAAATATTTGAATGACATGCTTCAATACAATATGCATCTCTGGTTACCTACATTTGCTGCAAATTATAACGTCAATTTGTGCCTACGGGCTGATAAATTGATGAAAACGTCAAAAAAGTATCCAGTGCACATTTTGCATGGACATCCCCATCATTTTACTGAAGTTATGAATTTTTGGAAGCAAAGAGGCATAAACAAGTTCATTACAACAGGTAAGATACTATGAAAAAGAGGCTAACAGTTAATGCGCAATGAAGTAAAACTGTTTCACGTTATATACAAATACGAGTACAGTGGCGATAAGTGTGGAGCCTTAATGAAGAAGCCGGGTGATAGGCCTACCTAAAGGCCAAAGAATGATCAGGTTACAGGGCACCTTAAGCTTTAAGTTATATACCGGTACATGTCTAATTAAGTTTATATAGTTGTCCAAAATGTGTTCAACATTTGTTATCGTTCATTTTATTTTCAATCAAGTAGTCAGTACATTATGGATTCCAAGTCCTTAGTCCGAGAAGACGTGTATTGGAAGGGCTCACGTTAATGCCTAGTAAAAAAAAAAAAAAAAAAAAAAAAAAATACAGAGCAGAACTAAAAACTGTAATAATAAATTATGGAAATCAATCCCAAGATAATAGGCAAGCAATAAGTAATTAACTAATAAATTGTCGGCAACACTAAAAAACTTTGACGGTAAAAAGGCCTATGACAAACAACAGAGCTGTTAAAACAAAATATCGGCAACGTATCTGAGTGCACACTGCAATCTTAATAGTGACAGTCTGGAGATTCTGGGTTCGAGTCCCACCCGAGAACAACTTGCGATTTTCTTTCCCAATTGTTTTCACACGTACTGAGTATTCAGTACATTTCCACTTCAGGTAGGGGAAAATTACACCTATAATAGTGACATTTGGCCTATATAAATGATAAAACTATTATTTATTGTTATATTATTATTATTATTATTATTATTATTATTATTATTATTATTATTATTATTATTATCATCTTCATTATCAATATTGTAACTGATGATATAATGTGGTGTTTGTTGCTTCTGTAGGTTTCTATATGACGAATGTAGCCCTGCAATTGTGTAACGAAGTACATTTGTACGGTTTCTGGCCGTTCAACGTGGATCTGTACAACAAGGAAGTTGCGTATCACTATTTTGACGACACTCAACTTGGTATTGGAAAAACTTTCCACAACATTAGCACTGAATTTAAGGTTCTATTAGAGTTACATAAAGCTGGGGCTTTAAGATTGCATTTGCGTTGCTAAACATAACGTTACGTTCGTTTGGTTTTGTAAAACATTTTCATTCAAACCGACAATAATAGAAATAAAGTTTAATGACGATTTAAAGAAAATTTCACAATGGGCATCCATATGGACAGTTACATTTAATGAGACAAAAACCAAAGCAATTCATTTTAAGAAAAATAATGTTCATAGAATAAATTTAATGTCCAATTGCAAGCCTATTGACTTCGTTACAACGTTTAAACATTTAGGTATACATTTTAGTAATGACCTAACATGGACATACCATGTAAGGCATTTAATTAATGAATCTAAGCAAAAATTAAATTTATTGGACCGGGTAAAAAAATTATCTAGAACTACAAAAGAGAAAATTGATTTAACTTGTATTCGACCTACTCTTGAATAATTATGCTTCCATTGTACGGGATGGAATTTATGGCTGCTTATCTGACGACTTAAAACTTTTACAAATTAAGGCCTTTCGATGTGTACTGTAATTTTACAACTGACATTTCTCCATATAATTTTCGTAATATTAGAAATCTTAAATTAAAAATTCCTAGAACTAAATTGTATGAATTTCCTTTTGTCCATTCAGTAGTTCAATTCTTTATTAATTCACTAGAAAATATATAAACATCTGAATCATTTCCTGTTTTGAGAAACATGCTACGGAATACATATCCTTCGAAAAAAATGTTTTTATAATATAGGAAATCGTGAGATTAATATGATACATACCCGCATCCGTCTCGGCTTTAGTAGCTTAAGTTTTCATTTATTCAACTATGGTTTAATATATAACCAATTATGCAATCATTGTGGCTTAGTGGAAGATCAAAATCACTTCTTTATTGATTTTCAAAAGTATGCTGCTCAGCGAAATATTTGTTTACTCACTGACATCTGGGACCTTTTACTTTTATGTTTAGAAACAATCCTAATTTCTATTATTAGATTTGTCTTTTTTAACAATTAATTTAGTTAGAAGCAGTACAGACTTAAATGAAAAACAAAACAAATTTGTTTATTATTTGAGATTGTCGAGAATAATACTGTATAGGATAATTTTAAAAATGATTTTGTCCATGCAATTTTCAAAGTTGTTCCCAAGTGTAAGGCAAAAAGAAAATTTAAATGCCCATGGATTAATAAAGAAATCCTCAAGATTATTAGAAAGAAAAAAGGTTAATACAAAGCTAGCTGTCAAACGTTCTCAAAATCCCAACAAATGGCTTATTTATAAAAAAAAAAACATAGGAAGCACCTTAAGTACTTAATTAAGCGATCTCACCACAAATATATCTCTGAGCTTTCTGAAAAATTCTGCGATCATGGAAAGCTTTTTGTCATTTTGTACTCAAATCCAGGGCCAAACCGGTTGCAAATGTTTTAAAATATAACGGCACCTTAGTTCAATAATAATCAATAATTACAATAAATTTTTATTCAATCAATTTCCTTTATTATATACTTTTTTTTACAATTCTCAATTCAAAGATTGATTGAAAAGGCATCAATTACAAGCAAGCTTTAAGTTTTGATGCCCAACAAAGAAAGAACAATAATAACTACAAAATAAAAAGGTAATAATAGAAGACGATTCATCTATAAATCAAGATTCTTAAAAAAAAGTGTAATGATAATATGACAAATACAATGGAAAAAAAGTAAAATTTCGACCAAGTACAGTAAAGTTTTATATTTGTTAAGTAGTCTGTTATGTATTTCTCTTTTAAATAAACTAATACTTTGTAGATTTTTTTATATTGTGTTCTAAGCCATTCCATATTTTGGCGCCTCTATTGCTCATACTGTTTTGTCCAATTTTTGTTTTCATTAATACAGTGGTAAAGTTTTTTTTTTATTTCTGGTTCCATAGTTATGTGTATCTTCAATTGTGCGAAAAAATGTATTGAAGTTAATAGGACGCTGTTTATTATGAAATTGAAAGAGTAATATTGTCATATGCTTTTATAGCGATCAAATATATTTAATGTATTTGTTTGTAGAAATAGTGGAAATGAAGGATGATGAAAATGAACTTTGCATATAATTGGAAGTGCTTTCTTTTGGAGAATGTGAAGCCTGTTTAATTTTGTTGGATTGAAGGGGCCCCATAAGACTATTGCGTATATTATGGAGAATTATGGATTTAAATATTTGTAACATTATTGAATAGGGTAACAAATATTTTAATTTATTCAAGATTCAGACTCAGATTCAGACTCAGATTCATTTTATTTAACCAAAACAACTTAGAAATAACAAAAATCACATTGTATGTATTATTAATGATAAGTTAGGAGACTCTCATTAAGACCAAAAATAGGCCGCTATCATGAGAGCCATCCCAAAATACAATATTGATAAATTTATTACAGTATATGTATATGTATATTCACACACATACATATAAACAAGCACAAACTTCTACACACAAATTCACAAAGACTGTACACATACATATACATATACATATACTGTACTCAAAAATATAAACTGATAAACACCAAGAGATTTAAACGCATGTTTATATAATCAATAAAAATAAAAAATAAAAAATAAAAAAAGATAAATAAAGATAAATAAAACAAGACCTATAACAATCTATGAACTCAATCAATGAATAAATTATTCAACAATACAGTATATTAATAGGGTTCTTAATGGGATAAAGATAATGTGTGCAATAAAATATACTTTCTTAGTTTTATAAAACTTTTCATAGCAAAATAAAAGCAATTCAAATAAATAACGAGGCCAGAACCTTTAAAATGGAAATATCTTGAAGCATTTCAGTTACGATTACATATGTAACAGTTAACAATATGGCAGAACTGATCGTATTCACCAATATTTTTTTTAGCATAATTAGCAAAACCAGACATTAGCTATGCGTTAAAACCTTAGAAATAATATAATTTGGTGTTGTATCAACGATTCTTGAAATATTATATCTAATGCATTTGGTTGTAAAATCATGATTCACTTTCGGTATTTGGAAATTGTTCCTACCACGTGTATAGTAACTATGTATATCATTAAAAGATGTCGGAATCATACTTGTGAAATATAAAGGAAGCTGATCATTTTTAAATTTAGGATAGAACTTAAGGGTTTGAAGCTTATAAATATCACTTATTTTCAGTAAATTTAGACTTTTAAACGTTCCTATTACCTTTGAGACTTTATTTGCGATGGCATCAATATGGTTATGATATGATAGAAATCCATCAAGATTTAACTCCTAAAAATTTTATATGAGTTACTCTTTCGAGTACAGAATTATTAATTGATAATTGTACATTAGTAAACTGCAATGTAGCTTACTATTGCGGCCTCTAAATATGATATATTTTGTTTTTTGGTGTTGACTGTCAGCTTATTTGCTCTAAACCATGCTGACAGGCGGTGTAATTCATAATTCATCATATCACATGCGTATATAGGGTCATTATGTTTTAGGAACATATTGGTATCATCCGCAAAGATGATGAGTTCTATATCTTTGCACACCGAAAAAAATGTCATTAATAATAATAGGAACAAAAGAGGACCAAGGAATACCAAGAGTCAGTTCTCTTTTTACGGATTCCCCAGGTTCTGATAGCAACATATTGTGTTCTGTGGGCTAAGTAACTTTTGTACCAATCTAATACAACACCCCGTATGCCATAATATCTCATTTTGTCAATAAATGATTTGTGATCAATTGTATCGAATGCTTTTGATAAGTCTAAAAATACACCTATAATAAATGATTTGTTTTCAATAGCTGACGTTATTTTTTCTAGGGTTTGTAATAGGGCGTGAATTGTAGAGTGTTGTTGCCGAAAACCATATTGAGAACTGTTTAATATGTTATACTTGTTAAGAAAAGAAATAGTCTGATCATAGACCACTCTTTCGAATATTTTTGAAAGACAGGGTAAGATTGATATGGGTCGATAATTATCAATGTTATGTTTATCCCTACTTTTGAATACGGGTATAGTTTTCGCAATTTTTAATTCATCAGGGAAACAACCGGTTGTAAGTGAAACGTTTATCATGTGTGTAATAGGCTTAGTAAAGTAAATATTATTATGTTTAATGTAATTAGCGCTTATGTCATCGTGACCTTGTGCTTTATTTGTTCCAAGTTTATGAATATATATAATTATTTCTTCTTCAGTTGTAGGCCTAAAAAACATTGAATTAAGATAGTTACCCGTCAAATATGACGTTGGATTAGGCCAATTTGTCTGGATATCTTGTTCTAGATTATCAGCTAATTTTTTCCCAACGTTAACAAAAAAAAAGTATTAAATGCTTCAGAGTTTGCATTTGGGTTTGTGTATGTCTCTGATTTATCAGTGACGTCAGTCGGTTAGGTTTTTTGTTTCTTCCAAGAAGTTGATTAATTCCATGTTTCTTTTAGATTATTTTTATTTTTTTCGAATTTATTAATAAAATATTCTTTTTTTCTTTTTCTAATTATATTAGTAAGTACGTTTCTATATCTGGTGTATTTAATTGTATTTTTATTCGATGATTTTTTTTTAGATATTTACTATATAACTTATTTTTAGTCTGGATTGCCTTGGCAATCGATTCGGTCATCCAAGGAGATTGTGATTTATTGACTCTAAGTTTCACTTTTTTTAGGGGAAGCATTGATTAATCAATGTTTGTAATGATCTAGAGAAGTTTCCATACGCTTGATTTGCTTTATTTGAACTTGAAACATCTTCCCATTCTTGCTTTTGTAGTTCATGTTTAAAAAAAATCGTTGTTATATTTTGTATTTTCACGTATAAATACATATTTATTGTCATTATTTTTGTAGTGTTTTCGGATGTGTCTATACAAAATATGGGGAAATGATCAGAGATGTCTGAGTAAATGATTCCAGTATTAATAGAATGTGTTTGATAGGAGTTTGAAAATATATTATCTATTATGGTAGCAGTAGTTTCTGTGAATCTCGTTGGTTTGTTTATGAGAAAGGAAAAAGACTGAGATTGAAGATTGTCTAGGTGAGAAGCTATATTGCTATATGTCATGTGTTGGCTTATATCTATGTTGGTTTCCCCACTAATGTATGCTATTTTATTTTAACTATTTATTGTATGCATAACTAATGATAACTGTCAAGTGAAAGTTTATTAATTTGTATCAGGGGGTCTATATACAACACCACATGATATTGTCTTATTATGTACTTTAACGTCAATAAATATAGATTCAGCTTCGGACAATATCAATGGAAGGTCACCAATCAATGGAAGCGTGATCCCTGTACATAAGTCTGGTGTAATTGATGATATATCTAACCACCGTGCAATTTCCCTGTGTTCAGTTGTAGGTAGCTGGGAAAGACAGTTAACAATCATTTAGTGAATTATCTGAACCAACACAAACTTATATCTTCTAACTAGCATGGCTTTGTTGCTGAAAGGTCATGTACAACCATAATTGAAATCACAATTTTTGGATGAGCGGAGTCCTCGTATTGATGTTATAATTTTTTTTTCGACTGGAGTAAAGCAATTTGATAGAATAAGTCATGTTCTTTTAATCAAGAAACAAGTATGGAATATGTGGTACCTTACTACGTTAGTTCTCGTCATACATTAACGAGAGATAACAGTGTGTGTTGTTTAGAGGAGCCATCTGATATTTGTAATGTCAAATCAAGGTAATTCAACAAATTAATAAATGTTCTGTATCTATTCAAATGTTCGTTTTGTGCACCTTAGTCCAACATTGTCAAATTGATTAACGGCTGTTCTCGCAACTAGTATCGGATTGTCAATGCCACACTAAAGATCAATGGGCTGTCCGCACGCGCTATGTTCGAGAGCGGAGATGTGCGTCCTGTTGAATTACCTTGGTCAAATCAGGTGTCCCTCAATGGTCTGTACTAGGTTCAACGCTTTTTAACCTAGGCCTATGTGTCATCTAATCTGTACCAATATGCTGACGACACAATCAATTTTATATCTATTAACTGTCGTCATATCGACAATAAAAAATGTACACATTTTTATTCCCGTATAAATGGTTTTAAATTCTCCGTTTTTATAATTTTTTGGAAAATTAAAAAAAAAAATTAAAAATAAATAAATTTAATTTAAGGATTTTAAAATATTCAAAAAAACGGTACACTTAAAAAAAAAATTAAGTTAACTTAAAACACAAACAACGCGATAGGATATGAAGTTTCGAGAATAACTTGTATACTTGTACTGTATTTTCTGAAGCGCCGCTCGTTTTTGGGTTGCTAAAATCAGCAGTTGTTACAATCGCGTCACACTCGGGCGATGACGAGGGTGGGGGAGGGGGAGCCAGGGCCCCAGGCGCGAGAAGCCCCGATATTGTAGTTAAAAAAAAATATAATATAAACTATAATACCGTAGTTTCATCAATGGGGCCCCGACAGTTTTAAACAAGCTGGGTTCTGATGTTTAAAATCATGCTTCTGATTTTGTGATCAATCTGCTTTGCATTGTATATAGGCCCTACGTTAATATTAAAACATGTTTAGTTCTCACTAAAATTGGCTTATTCTCTCTACTTATTTACAGCTGGAGTACATAGGCCTACTGAAGGCCTATACCAGTCCGAAAGTCATGTACCATTCTATGTTCTCTAACAACGGAGTTAACACATAATGTTTTAATCTCCATCAAATTTAAAAAGCATCCCAAATCCTTCATTTTGGAATGTAAGGAAATAGATAGTGCTTTTCCTTTGTTGGATCGATCGTAACTCCTGATTGTAGCAACCCAAAAACGAACGGCACATCAGAAATACAGTACAGTATACCAAAACTTTTCTCAAACCTTATATCCTATCGCGTTGTTTGTGTTTTAAGTTAACTTTATTTATTTATTTTTTATTTTATTTTTTTTTTTAAGTGTACAGGTTTGGAATATTTTAAAATCCTTAAGTTAAATTATTTACAGTTTTCTTTTTATTTTCAATGAAGAATAAAGGCGATCGTTAATATCGATCTTGGTACAATGTAAACCTGTAATCATATGAATACTTATACAGAATTTTACTATAATAGGCCTAGACTAGGACCAGGCCTCCTACTATATACAGGTCTAGTCCAAGACCTTGTTGTAAATCTCAGCCCACATATGTCTAACCTATTATGCCAAGCATAGGACTCGTGATCGCAGTACCCTGACCATTAAATTAGACGCACTGGGAAGCGTTGTTAACGGCATTGGACTGCAGCGAAAAATGATTCCCCCATCATAATGGAACAGGCCCACATAATTCTTGGCTGATTAGTTTTGATTTACATTTCGCAAGTCTAGTGCCATACGCAGCAAAAGTCAATTTATAGTGTTGAATGCATTTCAAACCAGACTGGTTTTTGATTTACGTTTTGGAATAGAATTTGGAGGGGGCGATTGATCGAGTCAGACCTACGTTTTGAATTTGAATTACATTTTAAAGAAATTAGAACTACATTTTGAAAAAATTGAACTACGTTTTGAAAAATTAGAACTTCATTTTGAGAAATTTACGCCTACCTTTTGATAAATTAGACATTTAAGTTTGCAATTACATTTTGATTTTAACATTGACTTTTGCTGCGTATGGCACCCCATAAAACAGAGCCACTATTCACAGTTTGTGTTAGTATGGGGTATTCCATTTGACAATACAGGTTGTATTACTATACACTATATTTTACTGTTCCACAATTTTTTTAAGTGTGCTTACCTCGTCTATTCACCGAAGGCACAATAGAGTGAAACAAATAGCTTACACTAATCAGGGTTTCATTCTATTTCAACACAATTAATTTAGCATCATAAAAACAAAACAATGAATGACTTACCATGACACAGGGAGGAAAATTGATTTTTTTTTAAAATACATACAGATTCTGTATAATATTAGTTGGTTAAAATATTAATATCGTTTTTCAGTTATTGTTTAGTAGAATTTGTCGAAACTTTAATTTGTCGAAAATTAATAAGCTAAGATAGTATAATATTCTTGGCATCGAAATGCACGCCATCCTGTCGGGATTCAATATTTCGACATTAATTAGGTCATCATCAGGAATGAAATATTGAATCCCGACATGGTGGCGTCCATTTCGATACTTGGGGTACGTATAACACGTTGTTGAATCATTACACCATGGTGTTAAGCACAAAGATGTCATAATGCAAGTAACACGGTAAAATAATATGATTAATGAACTGTGCGGACCTTCTATCGTGAATGAACATTATCATGAAACACTATGAGAAATTATTTCCAAGATATTGTTCTAGCAACCTGCACATAGTCAAGTTAAAAGATGAAGGAAATGATTGACATATCTGGATCAACTAGAAAAAGATACTACGTAATTTACTAAGATATGTTGTTTCCACAGCCATGATGGAACGAGATAGATGGAAGCAGTTGCAAACAATTCTTGATCGACAAATTTATATTATAACTTTTTAAGATATTTTGCTTTTTTGCTTATTATGTATTTTGGGGTGGCATTTTATTTTTCCCATACAGTTAAGAAATTATAGAGGGCGCTATTTAAGGTAATTTAACTGATAACATGGATATGCAGCATCCTGACTTCTCCCTCGCGAGTTGCCAAGTTGTACTTGTGGACGAAAGTGTATGAAAGCTACGGTGGATAGTATAGGTTTGGGTAGGCCAAAAGCTCTGGTAGTCGACATAGTAAACATTAATGGACTATTGTAATAATAATATACCTATGCCTAGACACTATTTACGTACATCATGATCTTTGAAAATATAAAAAGCAGTGCGATACGTTGACTCGAGTAGTAGTAGTAGTAGTAGTGTAAAGAAATAGCATAAATACTAACTGCTATAATACTAATGATGAAGGATTCTATGTATTGTTTTAATGTTGATTGTTCGTTCATACAATATGAATAAAAGTAAAAGGCCTAGATTTATATTGCAAGCATATATGTTATAAACATCAATTTTACCAAGACTGACGATATTTTACTGAATATATGACGTACTCTTTGGCTGTCAACCCAATTAAAAAAAAAGTTAGTATCTCATTTAAAACGATCAAAAACGGATGGAAGTAAAAAATATCTTTCAATGATTTACAAACGGTTCTATAAAAAAATTACCAGCCAATGAGTCATGCAAAAGTACTCCGCGTAATTTGTCTTACTATATAGCCTTTAGAATCAATACTTTAAATATAGGGCGTACAATTGCTACAAACACGTCATATCTAGGACTAAATATACTTTAGTATATAATTTCGTTCGCCACAAAAAAAAAAGAAAAAAAAAAGAAATGAGAAAGTCAGTGAGATTTCAAATTATCGGCGAATGTTTGTATAGGCCTACTGTACTTCGAGTAATATTTCAACCTCGATCAATACGCTCGACCTCGCGTGCCATACTAAATTAGTGATTATAATCACATCGTTTGGAAACAAACAAATCATGGCCTTATCAAAGCTTTCGAGGATTCGTCACTTAAAAACAAATCCATACTACAAGTTATGTGCAGAATATGCAGTTATGCTTCTGGATGGCCGGAAATTGCTGGGATGGGAAAACTAGACCTATTTTTTTTTTTTTTTTTGGTCCGACTGCCCGACGAGCTTTGGCAGATGATTTTTGATGCCGCTAGCATAAGAGCCACCCATGAAAACCTCAAAAATCTAAGAAAATAATAATAATAATAAAAATAATAATATTAATAATAATAATAAAAATAATATTAATAATAATAATAATAATAATAATAATAATAATAATAATAATAATAATAATGAAGTTAATGATGAGTATAATTTCGAAGACTATGATGATGATGGTGATAATAAAAATATAATTAACTTAATATAATTAATATAATAATTATGATAATGGTGATGTTGCTAATGATGATGATGATGACAATATAAATAATATTAATAATAATAATAATAATAATAATAATAATAATAATAATAATAATCGGCAAACATAAACGACGCATTTTATAGTAACATTTATTTTTCTACAATATCATATTTCGGAAATATAAACAGGATTTTTTTTAAAGCTAAGTTATTAGGCGATTTTAATTTATGAATTTTTAAAATGTTGCAAACGTCAAGAGAACTAACTACCTGTCAATCAATCAATTAATCAAGAAGGATTATGCTACAAACTGAACAAATTGAACAAGCTAATAACTGCATAAACGATTTTTCAAGTCGTTAAATTATTTTGTTTACGTTGGTTATACTACTTAACTTTATTAAAAAACAAAAACTAATTTACAATTAATTATATTTTTACTAATAAAAATCAAATTACTGCCGAAGATTCAAATAATAGTCGAAATTGACTATACTTGATAGCGTTTATTTCCCTTTATTATCCTTTGAAGTTTGCTTCTTTGTAAATTAATTAGGAGCGGGAAATCAGTAAGGCATACTACGTCAAATAACAGATAATTAAAAAATCTATCAAACAAGGAGACAAAGTGTCACTACGTAACAAAATTTATACATCAAATGACAGATAACAAAACAGCTTGAACAAGAACACTACATTTAAATTTTTAACTAAAACTGACAACGATCTTTACATCTATCTAATATTTCGATTTAAATTGTACAAGTAAATTTTATTTCACGCTCATGTAAAAATAGTGTGGATCGAGTAAACACTGGCAGTCACTGCGTCGTACGATGGTCCAATTTATATGTACAAATATATTTTTTTTAATGTTACGCTCATGTGAACAATAGTTGGGAGCTTTCGATTGCACGACGATGGTAGGACGTATAACGTAATGACGTCACTAAATGGCATATGCGCATGCGAGAACGTTAAGTTTTCCTCGTCGAGTAGATTCTAGAAAGCGAATTTTGCCAAATCTACGTATGCAGAGAACGTAGGACGCCCGGTAGGAAGGTCACAAATGAGTGATTTCGTTAGCGTCGTCGCGCAAATCGAAAGCTCCCTAATGTAGATCGAGTAAACACTGGCAGTCTCTGTTTCGTACGACCGTCGGCCGACGAATCCATCTCCGTTGCCCGTGAGCACTGGAGGGCGTCACGTCGTCTGCTGATTGTCACTGGCAGTCTGAACGGATCGTCATTAAAAAAAAAAAATCACTTGTGTGCGCGTTGAGGCATTGCGGCCTAGTCTCCATAGAATCGCGCCGGTCGACGACCATCTCGGGGGCAGTGAGTGCCCGGTTTAAACATTAACTAGGCGTCGTTTGGAAAATAAAACCGTAAAATCAACCGTAAAAATTAAATGATAAAATATAAGTCAAGGAGAGTTGTTCTTGTCACTGCTTGTTGCCATTATTAACCGTCAAATGTTTTTCATACCATGGTGTTCCTGCAAAAAACAATGTACTAAATAGAATAATAAAAGCATACCGTTGGAAAAAATGGTTCATCTCTGTAAAGATACAAATTTGATTAGCAACAGTTAAAAGGTAAACGTAAGCTTCAATGCAAAACAGATTAGAATTTATCTTTATTTTATCATGATTTTATAAAAAAGTATGTCTTCGAAGACCCTGTCTCGTTATATGCTTCTAAGAAGGGGGGGGGGGGGCGGGTCGTATCATTATATGCTTCTAAGAAGGGGGGGGGGGTGCGGGTCGTATCATTATGATCTCTGTTATTTACTATGCATCAAGGACGAGTGATGTGCAATTACGCATGCGCAAAAGTGTGAAGATTTAGACGCTTTATCGGACTTGAATTACAAACTAAGCCAGTTGGGCAATTTCTTGCACACTCACAGATACCTCCTCTTTGATTTTCTATCCTTTTAAAATATCTCCTGAGCGGAACGTAGGCGGAATTACGAGTTCAAGTAACGTCTAATTACATGGGATCAGAAGGCTGCAAAGAGCTTCTGATTGAGGTTTAGAGACCAAAATCGGTGGTGTTGAATAAAACTTTTTGTGGTAGTGTATCACTGAACTGTTGGTACGGTACAATTATAGACTTCCCACCACAGGTCCCTTATTTTTTTTCTCATTATGGACAGGCCACACGAACCGAGTAAGTTCTTTTAGAGACGGATAAGCAGAACAGAAGACATTTACATAGCTGGAACAGGAAAAACTGAAGCCACCGACGCAATATGCTGGAGCCCAGTGACGTACAAACTCCAGCCAAGTGCATTTGCATTTGTTTAGATTATTTATAAAAACAACGATTCTTGCAATACTTAATATTAATAGATTTATATTCTACAAAATGATGTTTTTTCACATAATTTTTCGACTCAACACCGCTGTTTGTGCAGTTTACAAAAGCACAAGCAGTGTCGTGTTGTTGATTTTGCGCTAGGATGACGTTTTTGGGCTTACTAACCGAGCTCCTTCGGTGGCTTTACTTAAACCGGTCAATGAACAATCAAGCTATGGCAAAAAATTAGAAAAAGAGTATAGGACGCCAATTAAATTCGTATGGAGCGCACCAGTTTCATATAGGCTTAGATATAATATTTACAGAAAATTACTATCCAATAATGGTGTGATTTGTCGTCGTATACTGTTACAAAAATATTATTACAGTTAGTTGTTTTTAAGTTGTTTTTTATGTTAGAATATAAGACGACAGAAGCAAAACAAGGGAAGGGACACCCTCCCAAATTTTTCGCTGCTTTCTTTAGGTTACTTACCATTACAGTATTACCTCCGCTAACGGAGGTTATGTGTTCACCGCTGTCTGTCGGGCAGTAGGTCTGTCTGTCTGTCTGTCTGTCTCTTGACAAGATTACGCAAAAACTAATGAATTGATCATTATACAATTTAGCGGAACAGTACATGATAATCAAAGAAAGACACCAATACATTTTCGGAAGAATAGATCAAATGAAAAAGTAACGAAAATATTATATGTTTTACTCTAGGGCATTAAAGAAAATAATGGAATCCCCAACCCCTCGTATTCAGGCAGCATTCATGGAGTAACTGCTCTGGTTATTATTGTACCTTAGTAAATTGGAAATTGTGCCATCTAGACCCAAGCTTTCGTATCTGTAGATTTCGGGTTTTCCGAATCATTATCTTCTGGCTTTTCTTCTACTTCATCAGCATCAGCATCAGTTTTTATTTCTTCCGTAACAGGGTTATATAATGTTTTGCCTCCAGATCTAGGTCAAGGTAATAATATTAACAAATATAAATATTAAAGTCATGATGCTACAACAAAAAGATAATCTGAGATTACAAACCCTCGTTATATCTTTTGTATATAGTCGATGCTTGATCAATAATAGCTTTCTTTCCATCTAGCTTCACTTTATGTTTATTCCAATTTTCTTCATTTCGATTTTTATGTTTTTAGTTTCTCATTTCTCATAGATCACACACTCCATGCACCAATCTTCAAAGTTTTGCAAGGATTTTGCTTGTTCTATATGGAACGCCAAAGGGGCAACTTTCAAACAGTTGATTTTCAAACACACTCGGTTTTCAGGCACAGTCCGTTAAGAGACACAGTCAATTTTCGTCAAGCACAGTCATGTTCGGCTTCCCTCAATGACTTACAGTAAAACATTTCTTTAGCTGCCACGTACAAATGCCGTCTCATCTCATTTTAGTGGCTTCTAAATATGTTTATGTAATGAAAATGATATGAGACTGCTTTCAAAACATTTACCTGAACTACCACTGCATTTCTGACATTACGTAAAGAAAATAACTAATCACAAGATAACATGCAACATGCAACCTATCTTCTTTTTCTGGTCCTATTGATATTTTTAACGAAACTACATACTAACTGAGGAAAAGCGAGCAAATCCTCTAGTAAAAACAACAATGATTGGAATAATACTAACTTCTTTGTTGCAGACGACTTAGGGGCAGATGGTGATTTGCCTGTAAGAATAAAAGAAAACAACATTTGAAAATGAATAATAAAGTAGTAATAACAACTATGATACAGTAAAACCCACTTTTTAGACACCCTTATTCTGGGAAAACTTTTTCGTTTATCGATGAGAAAATATCTTTTAACACTATTAATTACCAACCCATACAAGTACAATAAATTCAAAATAACAGTATTTCATTTCAATTTATAATTTGACGACTTTTGAGACATTAATTTAACATTTTATCCTGATATTTTAGATGGATATCAGTAGACGCATTGTGTGTGTTAGTTCCATAAGTAAATTTTAACTCTCAGTCATAGAATTTTTTTCTGTGTACTTTCATATAGCATTCAAATCCATACCTGCACCCTGATTTTTAAGTTAACACGATATTAATGCTAATGTATCTATCACATAATACTAAATCATGGAAAAATAAACTTTTCGTGTTTTAATTACATTTATTTTGACTTCATGTCATAAATGTATTGTATTTGCCATTGCAAATTATTGCTACAATTGTTACTCGTACTTCTGAAGTCAATTAAAAAATAATAATTATTATAAAGAATGTGTGTCATATTTGTACACCTACAGGCCAAATCCCTTATTGAGGAGCAATTTCAAGTTTTCGGTTATGTCCCCTAAATAGAGATACCAAAATTCAGAGGACACTCCCATTAAGGGGACACATTTTTAGTTGTTCCTTTAGTAGGGGTTCTATTGTGTTAACAATTATTTTAGTATAGGCCTAACAATAACTAGTGGCGTAACGATGGGGTCGGAGGCCCTGTGGCTTTTTGAAACTGGAGGCACTTTTTGAGTCCAGGTTGCCAATCCATCGTGGGATTTAAGATGTGCTCGTTTTTTTAATTATGTTTGCATTGTTATTATAAATGTTTTAACGAAGAATAAATGATATAATAACAGTGGTGGATCCAGATATTTGAAGTAAAGGTGCTAGGGAGAGACTTTCACGGTTGGAGAGTCTATATCACCCCAGTCCCATCATGGTTAGGGCTAAGGCAAGAAAATGTATGATTATGGCATCTCTAGATGGCCGGAAATGGCACTCATAGACATAAAATTGTGAATATAAATTTCTTCTTATCTCCATTTAAATATATATTGAAAACTTTAGTGGGGCCCTGGGCCACCCCTCTCTTTATTCTGCCACAGGATATAATATGATGTCCTACATTCGATATCAGAGACACATTATGCCGTTGCCCTTGTGGGTCTGATATAAGAAAATGTATTAATATGGCTCGTCTATATCCGGAAATGGCACTTAAGATTGTGAATATAATTTTCTTGTGATTATTATTAAAATTGTTTGACGGATTTGGTGGGGTCTTTGGCCGATGTGTCCCCTCCTTTAATCCGCCACTGGATATAATATGATATATGCCCTGCAGTTGATTTCAGAGACACATTATGGTATTATGTATGAACAATTCTTTTTGGTCAGGTGCTAGGCCGAGGAACCCACTGTTTCCTGAGAATATCAAGAACAATATATAACAAAAAAAAAATAATAATGAATATAAACTTGCTTTTCTTCCAAGCGAACAGTAAGGCGAGGAGAATGAGACATAATCCAGCAATGCATCCAATCACAATACCAGCAATCACACCACCTTTAAGCTCTATAGAAAGATAAAGATAAGCGATTATCAAACTAGTAAGGTAAATAATTATAAATTGTATTTCGTTTTGTAAATAATAATATTCTGATCCCAATAAAATAATACTTAATTAAATATAACTTTATTGCTTCCCTTTTATAACAGAGCAAAACCGTAAAAGATGTGCAACAATAACAAAATCAGTATAAACTGAATTACTGTGATTAAATATAGCAAGAAAATACTGTCTTTTTGTCTGTCTGATCTACACTGATGAGTCCTTAAAGGACGAAACAACGTTGTATGCAGATTGATTTAACTTAACTTAACTTAACAGACTATATACATAAATCTAAAGATCTTACTTTCTACTGGTTCAGGTGTCGGTTTTCCTGTAAAAAATACAAACAAAATAACAAAGTTTAGTGTTTTTTTGTGGATACATGAATTTAGATTTGGATTTTTTAGCATGAAAACATACAAAGTTTAACGCACGGATTTCTGACGACTTATTTCGACTGGGGCCCTTCTGGTAGTGAATTAGGCATGTTAGTCAAGAGTCATTGGTTAAAAGAAAATCCACTAATATTGTGTTGTTGTTGGACCCTATTGCACATGAGAGCAGTGCTCATAATGGTAGTCTATATAAAGTATATAACAGTACATTGCCCAGAATAACCCCATTTGAATAAGTGCCCACCTACTGTTAAGTAAAAGACTCTTCTTTTCTTCTATTTGAAATATACGTTTCTGGTGTGTCTATCAAACTTAACAATTGACCAGTGAGAAGTTCTCAAAGAATACGCGCTTGTCCCACAAACATACGTGCTTACATATGTGACCCAAGCTCACAAAGGGCTGTAAACTCACACCGCACTGTATTAAGAAACAAGTCTCCATAGCCAGAATAGGCCGTAGAGCGTGAATAAATAAAGTACAACTTTTAATCTTACTATTCCTGAATTTTGAGTTTAAAATTCCAACTGTAAGAGGTAAAATTTAGCCATTTTCGGATGGGAGCTAGTGAAAAATGAATAGAAACTTGTCGAAAATAAAAGCATTTTTCTTAAAACTTGATTTAAGAAAGTTGATAAGACGACAATTATTCAAACGGTCATAACTTCGCTCATTTAACTCATTTTAAAGTAGGCATAAATGATATGTTCTATGCCATTATCACAGAAACTCATTTTGGCCTGAGGACGGGTTTACAGCCCTTTTGTGAGCTTGGGTCACATAATGTTTACGCTATCTTTTTGTGGGACCTAGCAACAATATCTAAGGGATGGGGCTTAGCAGAAAGATCCCTGTATAATAGACCTTTCCGAAGTGTCAATCAAACTTAACAACTGACTAATCAGAACAGCGCTAGGAATACGTGCGCGTCTTACAAACACACGTGTTGTCACACAACGCACGTGTTCGCGTATGTTTTAACACTGCCGTCTTGTGGGACCTTAGCAACAAAATCCAAGGGGCGGAGCTTAGCGGAACGGTCCATCATGGACCTATTCTTATTAATAGGTCCATGGTATAATCATGGAGGTATTTGAGAAAATCACCTGAAAAAGCTCCGCGCACGCAGCGCTATGCAAGTTGACGTTTACGCAATGCCTTCGGACTATAATGTGTTCCCCGTACAAAATGCTCAGCGGCTTTGTTTACCAAAAAATTGAACCTGGCCAATTGAGCACCTTTTCTCAACGCACACTATTACAGTCAATCACTATGGCTGTGCAATCGTTTCCACCTTGAATCAAATACATTTATCTTTCAAGAAATACCAATCATATTAATATTTTCTACAAAACAAAACAAAAATCGAATTTAATGAAACATTTACATGAGTTTTAAAAGTATGGAATTGTTAATTTGAAAGATATTTAATAATATTTATAATCAAACGGTGTATCGTACAACTGCTATGTTTAAGCGCGTGTGTGTGTGGGTTTGTGTGTGTGTTGATAGAGACATAAGATAGACGCCCGGCGGGGAACACATTAGTCGCGTCAGGTCTGGTGCCGAGTGATGTACTCAATATAAGTGCGAAATCCAGAGAAACATACAAAATCGAATGCGCTACTCTACTGTATTTACACTTTCTCAAAACAAACGTAACCCAATATCCGCGTTTATTGCTAACAGACAAACTAGCATATTAAGCTATCAAATCGTAATTATAAAAGTTAAGCGTAAAATCAAGTGTAAAGTCAAGCGTAAAGTCAAGCGATTTGCGAAGAAGTATGGAAATATAATAGGGACCGAACCCATCGTTTCGACACTGACGAATATTATTAGGTGAACGAGTGCCTTTCGCAAATCTAGATACTTGTATAAAAATGCTATTACTACCCAAGCCCGGAAATATACCAATTACTTGATATAATTATACAGGGGTCACTTTTTTCAAAAATTGCAACGTTCATCAAAAATAAAATGTTTGTTTCAGTCTAATCTTGCTATTTTTCAAGCCTAAACAATAAGGTACAGTACGTCAAGTTGTTGCCAAGATAGGAAAGCAGTATACACCCTACCAGCCAGCGTACGTTTCCGGATTATATTTCGTTGAAACCAATGTTTTGACTAGAATCACTACCGGTAACTACTGTAAAATCATGTCACTATACACTAAGGTCACTGTAAAGTAGCGCTTAACATTATATCAAAATCGCTAAATCTGGTTTACCAACGTTCTTAAATGGTCGTCGTCATATTTACAGTGTAAAATAATACAGTCTAAAATGTATACATTTCGATCTACGGCGCAAAGTAGGTCAGACTGAAGTCAAAGTGTGCCAAAATGAATTACTCATTACAGAAGCTAATCTAAGCGAATATAAGATCTATGTAGAGGTTTTCATACCCGTAGAATACAATAAAAGCATTTTCAAATCCATATGACGTCATTTTTGTACTGTTTTCTGATTGGACGATATCAGTTTTCATTGTAACACCTAAATAAGTTCATATTGCAATGATTTTTGAAATGTTTAAGGATGTTTGGGATAAAAGAACCCCTGTGGGAAACTTTTTTTGTATTTTCAATGACGTCATCAAAATGCATTTTTCTGATTGGACGGGGCCAAAAGTGTTTTAGGCATAGGCCAACATTAAACAATTCTATTGTTAATCTTACAGTGAATATAAATGGGTTTTTTTTATAAATCGAAATCGAAATCAAAATTCATAATAATATCAGACAACCTAATTTTACATTTTTAATGTAAAATATGTTTACATCTGCGAATCCATTGAATTCTAAGACGTTAGGCCTACACCAATGTCATGATATATTAATTCCGTACTCAATCATATTAGGCCTATATTGTAAAAGTATCGCTAATGGTCGTTTTATGTTTTTTGATAATTCTCAGTGCAGTGTAAACGAGGAGGCTTTGAAAAGGAACTTTATGGTTCTACAAAATAAAGCATTGCTATCTACCAGGATAGGATGCTTTTTTGCAACTCTTATTTCGGAGTAAGGAGGGGTCTCATTTTGTTATGGAGCTACAAAGATATGGACAATATTTCATCTGTCGTGACGATTCCGATTTGCGCCTCAGGGGTGACGCCAGCGGAGAAGGAGGGGCAGGGTCCCCGTAGAGGAGAGCCGCCCCCCCCCCCCGGCGTTTGGGGAGATAAACTACCAGTACAATTCGTCGGGGAGAAATAAAATGTGTATGTATTTTCTACATATTAGAACGCCCCTTGCAATGCTGAATAAGTACAGTGCGTACATTTTATGTCAACATCTCTTGTACTTTACCCCTGTGCGAACTCTCTGGAAAGATCCTCCCGTTTTTAAGTCTCTAGTGGGTGTTCTGCTGGTGTGGAAAGAATATCTCTGTTCCGTGTCAAAACAATAATAACTTCATCAGAAAATGGAATCCTGTTGTCAAGCCACGAGGTATTTTTAGAAATCCAGCAAACACGTGTTTACGTTCTTATAACGTTCTTGGCGAATGTTGGGGTTAGGTATGTCACAAAATAACGTTTACACAAAGTTGTAGGAACGTGCAAATGTTGTGAAATTATGTTCAGTACGTATTTATGGTTCTACAAAATAAAGTTTTCAACACACTACTGTAATGTTATTGTCACGTTATAATAACGTATTATTGTTTGCTGGGAAGGTCGTTACTTCTCGCGTAGTAGCTCACCTCTCCGTAAGTGGAAACAAGAAGCTTTTTCAAAGTCTTGGATGTCTTTGTATAATTTAAAAAACAATTGACGCCTAGATATAGGCCTTCTTGTAGATATCATCTTAATATTTGGATATTTGGATTATTAGACTGCTCGAAATTTACTAAAGTATTCTAAACAGCAACAAAATATTAGAAGATTTGCTCACTGTTAAATCACGAGCAGTTTGTCAATTTTCGGAGTGCTTTTCCCACGCTTTGCATGAACTGGTTGAGTAGACGCGCGTACATCCTTACTGATTGTGGCTTGCTCTAATTAAATTGTGTCTCAAATGAACGAAAACAAGACTGATAAAAGTGCGTCTAGCTCGCAAAGCTGCAACAAGTAGCAAGTAGCAGCTAAATTTGGTACCATCATAAAGCTAAGGCTATACTGAAGATGGTGTTATTAAAATTAAAGCATGAATCCACATGAATCTATAATTTCTCTCCTACTTTTCTAAAAATATATTTTTAAATATTTTTTCTGTCGTTTAAACATCGATTTATTATTGATGCAAACTTCAAATTTAAACCAAAACATAGATTTTTGTTCCCCAATTTATATACAAGAAACGTGTAAATTTTGAAGTAATTCCGAATTTTCTGTAAGAAACAAAATCTTGTTTTGATATAGTGTAGTCAATTATAGCATTTGAAATATTTATAGAGAAATTTCCGACATTTGTTGAAAAATACCACCCTTAAAATTCGTTTAAATGTAAAATATTTTCAGGATAGATTCACCAGGGTATACCCTTCTTCAATCATGTGAAAAAAGGTGTAAAAGCCATAGTCACCAAAATGGACTTTTGGCACACTTTTATTTCGCCCTGGCCCACTGTGCGGCGGCTACACTCAATAACACCTTCATGGATAATATGCATAATATATAGCATATTTTAACTGATTTTCATGCTTGCACGACAATTTATTTACAATAAACCACGCAATCAATGCAGGACGTGTCGCTTTGTTTCGTATAAACGAGCATGCATTTCTTATCCAAATTGTATCCACATAATATATGACATTTGTAATAGTAAGCAATTATAGTCAGGTTGTGAGTACACCATAGGAAATAGAAGCCGAAAGAGCTAGCCATATTTTGCTGGGGAAAATAATGCCTGCCGGCTTCAGGCAATTTGTGAAGGAAACTTAATGGGCCCTAAGGCTTTTATTTCCTATAGGTCTAATAGTGTACGAAATTGCTTGACTATAAGTTTGTGACATCCTCACCATTCTTATGGCATTTTAATCAAACTGTACGGTTGTAGAGCGTTTGCAATAGGCCCTATCATAAATCCATTAATGCTGGTTGCCATGGTCGGTTGCTGTCATTCCTGTGTGTGTGGGTGTGTGTGTGCATTAGCTGCACCTTAGAATGATTTATTAGTAGTACCAGCAGTACGCGCACTGACACTTCTCACGCTCGATTCGGAAACATAGCCTAGCAACACTGCTAGACTAGGCATAGCCTTACCTTGATTTAGGTTCTGTTATCAGACATAAAAACGTCCAACATGATGTATTCTGTTGCTAGTATTGACACTTGTGTAATATAATAATCATTGGAATTATTTTAGATTTACTTTGCATAGGCCTATGCATTTTTCCTCAAAAAAAAAATCTTTTTTAGTGAAATTTTGCAGGGAATGGGGCTTTGAATAGCAGAAGAATGAGCTCTTCGCATATTTGCATTTAAAATGATGGAACGTCCGCCCTTCCACGAGCAGGATAGATTTTACCATTTTGATGGAATCATGGAGAGTCTACATGAAACAAACGAACCCGAGCGGATCCTTTATTATAAAGCTATAGCGCCGCCGCGCGGATGGGGTAAAATTGCTCTCCGTCCTCCTACAATGTATTTCGACCAACGTTCCACATTATATGGCGAAGCTGCTCTATCTTCTTCTATTTATTATCTTTGGAGATATGAAGATGAATAAATTAGTTGTGGTTAATTAGGGGTTATTAAGTAGGCCGAACTTCCTAGTAGGCATTTTTTAATACGGTTTACCAAAATGTATTTTAAAAAGTATTATGAATTATTTCAGCGTTGCCTTATTTTTTCATTTCATTTGTAAGTCAATCACCTTGTTATCTCATAACCATTATGTCTTTCTTGGCCATGCCTAGGATGGTCTAGGCTTTATTCGTGCTAGCCAGCGCCATAGAGCGAGATTTGTAATTCTCTGTGTGCATTCATAGCTTGGCCGCAACGAAACATTCCTTCACGATGTAACTGTAGTAATATCTCCCCAGCTTTTAGCTTTTTGAAAACGAAACGCAAAGAAATCGGAAGCACTATATCGATTAGTGATCAATCGGGAATAGAAAATTCAGTGCAAATGAAAGTGCATTTCTATATATTTATTCAAGAGGGACGCCTGTTAAAAATCATAGCAAGCATATCAAATGCTTGGTCCCCTTAACTGCAAACGCGCAGGCGTGGAAATCACCCTATCTCTTAACCATTAACGCTTATTTAAAAACATCGCCTTTTTTTACTACAAAAACCGTAACTCATAAACGCAACCTCAGGAATTGACCAGTAAAAAGATTTCATACCAGAGGTTTAACAATTATAATGTTTATTGTTCTCAATTTACTATAAAAGCCCGTTTTAAATAGCACCCTGTTAAAAGCTTCCGTTTGTTTATTTGCTCGAGAACGATGGAAAATCTAAATGTACATCATTCCTGATGGTGACATAATTAATGTCGACATATTGAATCCCGACACGATGGCGTGTATTTCGATACTTGAAATATGTACTATACTATCTTATCTGAGATTAATCAGTGATAGTGATAGACATATTATTTACAGTAGGTGCAGATTCAGTTCCCTGATGAAGTAATTGTTTGTTTTTTTGTCATGAGATGCTATAGCGCCCTCATTATGTTTCGGCGGATGCACGCCGATGGGTAACCAGGATGTTGTTGAATAAATAGTTTTAGTTGAGTTTATATGATTGTTGTCTTCTTTCATTCAACCAGCCTACAAATTAAGGTCTCAACACACCAGAAAACATAGCATGGTGTCAGAAGTGGGATAATAAAAACAGTACAACCCACGAATATTACATTTTAGGAAAAACACAAACGTGTTTATAACGGATTTTCGGCAGTAACTATAGGCGGCCTGACGGCGACAGAAAATCGTGAGTATGGCTGAATTAACAGGGATACGGTACCAACGATTGAATGAACATCTAGTAACCTGCCAGAAGCGCTGAGAAAATTCAAACGTACGGCTCAGCTGATTTAGACCACTACTAGAAAAGAGTGAAGAAGTCAAAGCCCACTATCTGCTCCTATGGATAGGGGAAACAGGTAGAGATATAAGAGACAGTTGGGACCTCACAGAAGAGGAAAATAAAAGCTCGAATAAGCACTGGGAAAAACTAGAGAACTATGTAAAACCTAAGTCTAACTTCAGAGTCTCAAGTTTTAGACTACGGGTACTTAAACAAGATGAAGGTGAATCAATTGCCTCCTTCTATACCAGAGCCAAGATAGTTAGAGGACGTTGGTTACACAGACAAAGAAGAACAGCTAATAGATACAATCATAGCTGGTGTACGCGACAATAATATCAGACGAAAACTAATAGCAAAAGACGAACATTTAACGCTCAGTGATGCACTTAAATTAATTCGCACATACGATGGTACATAAAAACTGATGACAGAAATTCAGGATAGTACTGCGCGACGCCGTGTTCAATCAATAAAATACGCCGCCAATGCACATGCAGCTTCTCGAAAGAGTAAACCAAACTACGGCAAGCAACAAATCCAAAGCTACAGTATGCGACTAAGTACCAGTGTGTGCACACGCTGTGGAGAAAAGCATCCTAAAAAGGAATGCCCATCCAGGAACGTAAAATGCTACCACTGCGACAAGATTGGACATTTCACGAAAATGTGTTTTCAGAAAAATAAAGAAAAATTGAGAGAAGAGAAAAAATATGGACCAAAGCAAAGATCTCACAAAATAAGAGAAGTAACAGAGGATAAAACGTCTTCATTTGCATTGGACTCAATTGAAAGTGCCTCAGGATCACAAACACATACAAAGTAATATTGATGAACAATAAAACAGTGAAATGTAAGATAGACAGTGGAGCAGAAGTAAACGTCATGCCGCTGAGAGTATACAAAGATTTATTTCCAAAGAAAATTAAGGATGGTAAACCAACAGACCTAATAAAAACAAACGCAAAGCTGACAGCATACGGTAGTAACAAAATAATAGTGTATGGAGCGCAAAACATCACATGTACTCATGGTGATATGACAAGGAAACTGAAATTCCACATAACACAGGACGAAGGAAAAACAATGGTCTGCGAGCATGTCTAGACTTCAACCTCATTACATTAAACTGCTTAGCCAGCTGTAAATGTGCAGCAGAATGTTGTGATATCACTGAAGTGACGGCAGAAACACCTAAAGACAGATTAACCAAACAGTATCCAGACTGCTTCGAAGGTGTAGGTCAGTTCCTAGGCAAATATAAAATTGAGCTTAAAGATGGAGCAGAACCTTGTGTACATCCACCCGCGTGCCAGAATCGCAAAAAACCGCACTAAAGAAAGAACTACTCATAGAATGATGGATCTTGACATTATTCGAAAAGTAGATCAACCAACAGACTGGGTTAACAGTATTGTTTATGTAACAAAGCCATCAGGAGATCTGAGAATATGCCTTGCTCCCAGGAACTTAAACAAATGGGTCAAGAGGCCACATTACTACACACAGACACTTGATAATTTATTACCCAAACTCCAAGGTGCAAAGTATTTTACGAAGCCTGATGCACGATCAGGCTACTGGAATATTAAACTAGATGACAGCTCTGAAACACTGACAACATTCAATACTCCATATCGTCCCCTATATAACGTAGTGGCGAATGTGGAAAAATCAATTTTTTTTTTATTTGTGAATTTAAGTTGTTTTACTGTGTAGAATCTCTGACAAAAAAATTGAGTCAATTTGATAAGTAATTAAGGAAGAAAATTAATTAGCAAAGTGGCGAATGTCGCTATATCAATCGATGTGTTTAC